GGTTTCCAGATGTCTCTCTCTCCCTCCCCTGCTCCTCTCTTCTCTCCCTCCTTCCTTCCCTTCTCTTTTCCCCTTCTTTTTCTCCCTTCATTGTTTCTGGCTTTTGCCTTCATCCCTGCTATGTTTGAAAGCCCTTCCAATTTTTCCCTTCGCTGGTATTCTTCCTGGCATGTTGGAGGCCTGGGGTTCTCATGCCACCTTCTTAGTAAATTTTCAGTGTCGTGTCTGGAAGAAAACCCATCTCATCTCTTTTAAAAACGCTCATGATCCTCCTTGTCCTTGGTTAGGAGCAATTGTTCTCTGGGTTTTTGCTCCATGGATGACTTACCTGTATGTACTTTTTCTTCCCCAACTTTCCTCCTCTCGTTTGCTTCCGATATTGTTAAGTTTCCAGCATCTGTCTTCATGCCTCCAATTCACTTTCCTTCTTGTGTGGGGGGCCCTTAAGAGCTACTTAAATTTTTCTTCCCCCCCTCGAAACCATTTCATTAAGTGCAGAACCGATCATTGTTGATTATTTTATGTTAGAGGAAGAATATATTTTCTTGTATAAACAAGTGGTTGCACGTTGTAATCCATGAACTAGGAGTAATTTTCTTTATTTAAATGAACAATTACATTATAAATTATAAATCTTTTATTGTGCCATGTGGTCAAAACCTAATCTCAGTTTTGGGGAAGTGTTTCTCAACCTTGACACTGCTGGCATTTGGGGCTGCATAATTCTTTGTTTTGAGGGCCTGTTCTGTACCCTGTAGAAGGTTCAGCAGCATCTCTGACCTCTGCCTATCAGGTACCAATAGCACTTCCCACTTGTGACAACAAAACTTGTCTCTAGACATTGCCGAATACCTGCTGGGGGGCAAGAGAGCCCCACATTGAAGACCCATGGGCCCCTGATGTGTCTACCACAGTCTTACAAAGGGCTCTCAGAACAGCTGTCTCTGCTCTGCGGCACAAAGCTATTCCTGCATCATTCCAAGATGCTCCGGGAGGTGACCTCAGGCCTGTCCTGGTACCACGCTGGGGAGCCAGGCAGACAGACAGGACGGACAGGACAGACAGGGATCTTGCTGGCTCCAAGCTTTCCCCTTGGGGTAGGGCTCAGTTCTGCGTGATTTTGATTCCCAGTTCCCTCTGGGAGACCATTCCCCAGAACACAGAGCTCAGGAACCCCCCTTATCACCTAGACTCTGCTTCTGCTGTGATTGACTCTTCTCACTCCCCGCAGTCCTATCCACTTTTATGTAGTCTGAGGACAAGCCAGCCTGCTCTTTATCTGCTTTTCCAAAGATAATGTTTTATGGCCTAGAAGTTATATCCTTCATAGTTTCACTTTTAACACCAAAAAGATTTTCTCTGCTTCTCTGCTGTTTTATCCCTTCCCTGAGGCAATGAATTCGGCTGCGGGAATGAGTGGAGACAAGGATACAAGAAAATAAAGGGAAAATTTTGGGTTAAAACTTCAATTATTAGAAAAAAAATCACTTGTTTATTTCCCTGCTGTATACTATAAGAATATAAATGGTTAGAAAACTAGATAAAGAGCCATTTGATCCTGAGCCTACAGAAGGTTGATTAGGGCTCTGGGGAAGCAAGACATCCACAGGGAAGCAAAGAGCTTAGACGGTGGTGTCCTGTGGACAGGACTCCCAAGATGGAGCTGAGAATTTAAGATAACACAGTATGATTTCATCTGTGCACTACTGTTTTGCTTTGGTTTTTTAAAATTTAAATTGAAATTTTTTATCGAAATATAGTCAGTTTACAATGTGTCAGTTTCTGGTGTACAGCACAATACTTCAGTAATATTGGAACATACATATATTCATTTTCATATTCTTTTTCACCAAAAGGTACTAGAAGATATTGAATCTAGTTCCCTGTGCTATAGTTTTTTGTTTTTTGTTTTTTTTTTTTGATGAGCAAAGAGTTCCTTAGTAATCCTCTGCAGTTCTGGTCATCTGGTGATCACTGCTCTTCGCAAGTCCTCTGGTCCACTCCTCACTCACAATTCTCCAATGTATATTTGATTTATATTCTTTTTTTCTAAAGTATTAGTGTAAGCCATGAATTATTTCATGGAGTTTTAATTTAAATAGATGACGTTGGGCTTCTATTTTTTTCACTCAATACTTAAATTGCGTTCCTCTGATTACTAGTGATTTTGGGCACCAGTCACTAGTGATTTGGGTTTCTTTGGCTCTGAATTGACTCAAACATCCTTTACTCATTTTTAAAATTTGGGATTCCTGTGCTATTTTCAAATATATGAGTTTCTTTCTTTTATAGATAATAATTTCCTTGTGGTTTTAGACATGGCAGATGTCATATCTCTGCAACATCTTTATGTTAACTTGATTTACAGGAATTCATAATTTGATGTGATTAAAACCATCAATGATGCTTTCAGAATTTTGTTTAAGAAGTTCTTCCTAACCCTAGGGTACATTATCTCCTGCCTTTATGATTCTCTGTGGTTTATTTCTTTAATATATCTGGATTCCATTCTTGTAGGTGATGATAGATAGGGATTTTTCTCCCTAACGAGCAGTTTTCCAATCATCACTTACTAAACAGTCTGACATGTGCCATCTTTATTATGTAATAAATTCTCAAATATGAGTCTGTCTCACAGCTATCCTGGCCTATAGGTCAATTTGCCTATTTTTGTATTCATATTATACTGCTTTTAATATAATGACTTTCTAGTAAGTCTTAGTAGCTGTTAGGCCAAGTGTGCATCTCAATAGCTTATCATAGCAATGTTGTCTACAATCATAATTCAGGGTTGCTTGTAAGCATCATCTTGGGGACTAAGATTTCAACACATGGGTTTTGGGAGGACACAAACATTTAACTCATAGCACCTCATGACAGAGAGTACATGAATCAAGAGTAACTCTTAAATGTTGCTGGTGGGAGTATACACAGATACAATGAGTAGGGAAAACAAGTTGGTACCATTTTGTTAAGTTTTAACATGCACAGTCTCCATAATACACCAGTTCTATCCCTACCTGTATGGTATCATAAAGAAATACCTGCTTATACATCCAAAAGAGAGGAATAAGAATATTTGCACAAGTATCAGCAACAAAATTGTGATGACACCATGTCTTAGGGAAATGGTTGAACAAATGAAACAATATTTGTATAATGAAACATCTATTCAACAATAAAGTTGAACTACAATATAGAGAACAATGAATGAATATTAAAAAACATTATTGGGTGAAAAAAGCAAGACTCAAAAGAATGAAAATAAGATTTCAGTTTTATAAATTTAAAAACATAAGCAAAACTAACATGTGTTAAAAGAAAAAAGTGTGATTAAAAACTAAAACTCAGGCTAGTGGGTTCTAACGATGTAGAGTGAGAAAGGAGAAAAGATGACGGAGGACAAAGAAGTGTCAATGGTGTGGATAAGACTTTCTTTTTTAATTAGTGGTGGTTCATGGGTGTTTGCTTAATTTTTTATGTTCATAACTTATATATGTCACATACATTCCTTTCACATATCAAATATTCCAAAATAAAAAAGTCCAAGGCAAGTACACTTTACCTGTTTATTAAAGTGACAAAAAAAAAACCTGTCAGCATGTGCTATATCTTCTATTATTCTAAATGATCCCTTTCTCCTTGAAAATCATTTTCAATCTTCTTTACCCCCTTTGCACTTATTTTTTAATCAAATTTTACTATTTCATATTTTAATTATTTTAGTTTAATTTCTTAATCTGTTTACTTCACTTGATGGTAAGATCCATGAACCAGTTAATTTCCATTTGATTCCCTCCTATCCATTTTCTATAACTCTTGGCTCTGCACTGTGCTGAAGACTGTATCACCTTGACTTGTTTGCTCTCATATTTCCAGTTGGATTTGACCAATGGGAAGTCCTGGTAAACTAGAGTGTGAGAAGAGAGAGAGAGATTGAGGAACTTCTTCCTATAATTTCCTTGTCTTTGGGTGTGTCTGTATCCCTTGTGACTATAGCTTCTTCCAGACAGCTTTTCCTCCATGTCTCAAAGTCTCCTTGGTTTAACACTATGTCCCCTTTGCCCATTCAACATTAGATGTGGTAGCAGCTTCTCACTGTTGCTAGTCTTGGGATGCCTCAACTTTCCTGTCAATTCCCTAAATATTTCCTCACATATCTAAGCAGCTCTTGCATTAAAACCATTTAATTTGTACCACCTGGGGTAAATTTTTATTCCTGCCAGAATCTTGTTATATTCTTGGTCGGTCTCAGTCACTGCTGTTTCCTCAACAACTAAAATAACACCTAACACCACAGTAGTAATCAAAAAAAAAAAAGTTACTGGTAGATGGCTCCATGAATAACACATCACAGGTAATTACCATGTGATTGTGTCCCACCAGCAGCAATTGTTTAAGTTGGGGCCAGGAAATTGATTGACTCCTGTAGTTTGGATCCACCTATTGGCTAGGAGCAGTCCATGAGAAATCTGGCATGAGAACGTTACCCAGAGAAAATGACTATAACTAAGTAACACTCATCAGATTCTCCTCCTTGGAGGATTTGAATGGAAAATACAAAAAGGGTGTTCCAGTTGGTAATGAAGGCTGATTCTGGAAAAGATACAAAAGTCAAGTGTCAGAGATGATAATGTGGCAGTGGTTGCGAGAGACTGGAAGTACGCAGAGGTTGTGAGTACATTCAAGTTCAAAGCACAGATGTCATGACTAAGCAGAAACTAAAAGATATCCATCAGTAGAGCTAGAGAGAGGAGCTGAGTCACAGTATTGGGAAGAGATTGTCTAACTAAAGAATGACAAGTTAATTTGGTAGTAAAATGACTTTGGACCCTAAATCAGCTTCTAATTCTCAAACTCTATTCCTCTCCTTTGAGATCCAGAATGTATGTTACTGGATTAGCAAAGATTCCCTTAGTCCTCTTTTCCATATATATTTTTACAACAAATCCTGATTATCTGAAGTTCTAGCAGATACAAAAAAGTGGAAAAACCAAAGTTCAGCTCCCAGCCTGGTATTTTTCCTACCACATCACTCACATTGAGTTATCAATCACATTTTTTAATCTCATTTATGATTCCTTCCTATTCCAGCCTACTTTAGAGAAAGTTTAAAAACCTATTCTTTGATAGTTTTACCATGCAATGATTGCAGTCTATTATTTCTTTTCTTTCACATTATTTGTGTGAGTTTTGGAAAATACTGACAACAAAGAGAAGGTATTCCAATGGGTAGCTTCAAATTTCCCAAAGTCCATTACATGTATTTTTTTACAGATAATCTAAATTTCTAGTGGACAAATAGAAAAATATCAAAATTTGGGTGATGACAGTGAGGGGTATTCCATAAAAGATGGATTATTTCATTCTTTCAAAATTTTAATCTCTGATATCCAAAATCCCAAGCAGAACTGCTCTGAGAAGAGACTCAGGTGGAGAGGCAGCTCAACAGAGAATGAAGCGATAATGCACAGGACAGAGAGCACTTGAAGGCAGCAGCACTAGGATCGTATAAAGGGAGCCCAACACAGAGGGATGCATTCTTTTCCGCAGATTCATAAAGGAGTGATTAGTATGAGAGAAATGTAGGAGTGTCATTTATCTTGATTGTCCCAAAGCCCTTGACAGAATATTTTCCTGAAGACTCTTTAACAAAAAGTGAACTTAGATTGCCATGGAAATTGGCTGGTGAGTCCAAAATAAAAGAAAAAAAAAGATAAATAGCAAGTGTATCTAGTTTAAGGAAGTAGCTGAAAATGACAAAGGAATTGATATCTTTTTTTTTTCAGTCTTCTCACATTTTTAAAAGCTACCTGAAAGTAGTTTTAAGAATATGTGATGAGTTAAACTTACTGTGTGTTAGGTTTCCTGAGTGCAGAGGTCATATATTCTGAGCCAAAATGAGGAAGGGTTTTGTTGCTTCTGGGAGCAAGAGGTGGTGAGATGCCATTTGGTGGCCAATTTATTCAAATTCCTGGCATGTTCCTTATGTATGTAGGAATTTCGGGACAAATTTTTAAATGAAGATAATTCTAGAAATTTCTGGACATATATTATCAAGCAGTGAGGTTTGTAATTCCTGATAACAAGGAGCTTAGAATCTAGGATAAGGAAGTTGAGATAAATAAAACAATTTCAAAAACCTGGAGATAACAGAACATATTAACATCATTTCTGATTGTCTTTTTTCTCCCCATTCTAACCCTTTCTTCTTCTTATAATCTTAGAATATTAATTGGATTATGTCATTAACCTTAAAATCCTTCAAGGACCTTCCATTGCACTTTGAAAATAATTTGGAGATCTTGTTAATCACTGTATTTTCTTCCTGTCCCTACCTAGACAGCGGTAGGAATGTAGTAAATTTCTATCAGTAAAAATGGTTAATGTGGCTGACATACAAAATGGACCCTAAAACATCAGGTATTTTTAGTTCCTGTGTCTGATTGGTTCACCAAATCAAGGATGCATTTAGCTTTGACCACATTATAACCGTCAGACCACTCTAAATGGTTATGCGAGTCGTGATCTGCACAGCCCAGGGATGTCAACTGAAAGAATAAAGGACAAGGTAAGAGTTGTGAATTAAGTTTTATTCAGGGCCTTACTGAGGACTAAAGCCCGGGAGACAGCCACTCAGTAGCTCTGAGGAAGCTGTTCTGAAGAGACAGAAGGAGAAGCCGGTTTATATGTGATGTTCTTGGCTGGGGAACACATGCTGTCAAGTAATCTTGGTAATCTTGTTAAAAGAGTATTGCTGGTCACAAAGAAGAGATATCTCAAGTTAATGATCTTAGTGCTTTTCTGTGTATGGGAAGATGTAAGAGTCTGGGTTCATTCAAATCCTTCCTGAGACATACCTCTAACTGTCTAAAGGGGATGCTTGTCCAAAGCAGAGAGGGCCTCATCTTGTTACTGTCTTATTTTCCTCTCGGAGTGAACTGCTGCTCAGCGACTGCCGCAGGTTGTGACTTCAGTCCTTACAGCAGTGAGTGGTAAACCAAAATGCTCTTTCTTCATCTTTGTTTACAGTTCTACACGGGGCACATAGGGGTCTGAGAACTTTCTCATATGTAAGGAGTCTGTGATTTTCCAAGGTCTTGAAAGCAAATACTTAGCTTTACTCATCTTTCTGTTCCCTGCAGTGTCTATTATTTTATCTAAGACTGAGTTGGGGATTAATTCATATTTATTTATTTAATGGAATTTAAAAATAATCATGAGTGTTCTTATAATATATGTTCTCATTTTGAAATAACTCCAGTTTCAAACTAATATTTTAATATGCATAATTAATTTTTAAAAGTCAAAGGAGAGAATCAAAAATGATTATGTATATACCTTAAAAATGTTAACTTTTAAGACATGAAGTGTACATTCACTCAACAATCTTCTGAGATATGCCTGTCCTTTGGCCTTATTCTTTGTGTCCATTGATAAAGTTCTGAGTTATTTTATTATATTAACCACAAGTATAACACACGATTCTATACTTCTGTATTCTTGAAAGTAGAATAAGAAGGTAGACACTTCTGATACAATTCCAGTTCAGAATCCTTTTGAATTTTTTATCTTCTTTCCCCTCAACCTTGTACAATTGTCTTGTCCACAGCTCATTTGATAGTGAATTTTTAAATGAGTTACCTATTTTCAAATCTTTCCAAACCACTCAACCTCACATTGATGGAAACAATTTTATTTTTCCCACTTACATTTTTAGTTTATTCAATAATAAATTAAATTACATACTTATAATTACCAGTATAACCAACATAAAGAGTTTGGGAATAGACATCCACTCTTAGTAAGCATATCACTCAAAGCTTAGGGACAGAGTGTCAGCATTCAAAAGGTGTGTTAGTGTGAGCATGCATCCTGTAACAGAGAACTGTGGGTAAGCAAATCTGTTTACCTGAGGTCACTTTGGAGACCTATTGTTTTGTAGATGCAATTACATCGTAATTACATGATTAAC